TCGAGCGGGCTCCAGCAACGTCTTAATTGTGAGACTTGTTGTTAGTGTGTTTGGCATTGCCTGGCGGGCTTTGCCGTGTGGGCAAGATATTCTCTGTAGCTTCCAGGGCTCTCCCAGAGGGGCGGAGGAATCGAACCCAGCTTGGCTGGGCTGACCGCGTGCAAGGCAAACGCCCTACCCACTGTGCTATCGCTCCAGTCCAATGTTCAGTGGTGGAAAACAAAATATTTGTATTTAAAGTCAGAAACAAGAAAACGCTGTCCACTATCACCACATCTATTTATTTTAGTGTTATAGGTCTTAGCCAGAGCAAATAGACAAGAAATAAAAGGAATTCAGAGCAAGAAAAAAGTGAAACTATCATTATTTAAAGGTTGTACATTCAAGGGTTAAAAGACAGATGGCTGCAAAATCAATACACAGAAATCTGTTGCATTCCTACATGCAAGTAATAAATAACATGAAGAAATTAAGAAATCAATCCTACATCCAATTATATTAAAAAACACAATGTCTATGTGTAAATTAGACATGAAAGACCAGTATAATGAAAACCAGTAAGATAAGGTTTTACTTACAGTATAAGATACTGTAAAAACACATAGAATAAGATGTTAAGAGATATAAAGACATACCTGAGTGAGAAGGATGAATGCTGTCAAATATTCATTATACCAAAGCAATACAGATACCATGCACTCTGAATCAAATTTCTTAGGACATTTTGAAAGAGACTAGAGCAAAAATACCAGTGTTTTATGGGATTACATCAAATACCTATAGCAATCTTAAGGAAGAAAAAATAAAAATGGAAGTATCATGTTACCTGACCTCAAACTATATTACAAAGAACAGTAATTTGAACTTGTGTAGCACTAGAATAAAAAATAGAAATGATCATCTATGGTAAATACCTGAAATCCCAAAGCATTAAATATGCATTTTAGTCTTAAATTTATAACTAAATACATAAAAAAGAGACTCTTGAACAAATAGTTGGGAAAGCTTGACAAATACTTGGGAAAAAATAAAACTGATTACACTCTAACCTCATATACAAAAATAGATCCAAAATTAAAGACTAAGATCTAAGACTTAAAGGTATCAATGATATAGAAGACGTTAAGTGGAATGTGCATGATATCAGCATTAGAGATGCTTATTGGGACTCAACCCCAAGGGCAAGAAAAATGAAAGTAAACAATTAGGACTGCATCAAATTGAAATATGTTTGGTACAGCACAAGACAAAGAAGGGGCATACAATGAGAAAGATGTTAAGGTAGACATTGAAACATGGTATGACATGCAGTCTCAATCAAATTTTTTTCTAGTCTTATTTCTGTTCTAGTACCTTTTGTTCTAGTCTCTTTCAAAATGTCCTTAGAAATTTGATTGAGAGTACATGTCACAGTACCAACAGCCACTGTACCAATCATACTAGTGGATAAAGAATTGTGTAAAGAACGTCTGATGGGGGGCTGGAGCGATAGCTCAGTGGGTAGGGTGTTTGCCTTGCGCGCAGCCGACCCAGGTTCGATTCCCAGCATCCCATATGGTCCCCTGAGCACTGCCAGAGGCAATTCCTGAGTGCAGAGCCAGGAGTAACCCCTGCGCATTGCCGGGTGTGACCCAAAAAGCAAAAAAAAAAAAAGTCTGTTGTTAAGAGAGAGAGAAAAAACACTAGAAATATAAAAAGTAAAGTTTCAGGGTATGGGTGAGTTGTTAACAAAGTACCCAGGGCAAAGTACCCAGGAACAGAAAGAAAAGAACTGCATATTTATTTATTTATTTATTTTTAATTTTATTGAATTACTATACAATAGTTACAAGCTTTCATGTTTGAGTTACAATCACACAATGATCAAACACCCATCCCTCCACCAGGGCATATTCCCCACCACAAATATTCCCAGTATACTCCCCCTTTCCCACCTTCCCACTGCCTCCATGGCAGACAATATTCCCTATACTCTCTCTCTCTCTGCTTTTGGGCATTATGGTTTGTAATACAGATATTGAGAGGTTATCCTGTTTGGTCCATTATCACTTTCAGCACACATCTCCCATCCCGACTGATTCCTCCAGCCATCATTTTCTTAGTGATCCCTTCTGTATTCCAGCTAAGAACTGCATTTTTTTTTTGCTTTTTTTGGGTCACACCTGGCGATGCACAGGGGTTACTCCTGGCTCTGCACTCAGGAGTTACTCCTGGCAGTCCTCAGGGGACCATATGAGATGCTGGGAATCGAACCCAGGTTGACTGCGTGCAATGCCCTATCCACTGTGCTATCTCTCCAGCCCCAGAACTGAATATTTAATGGGTCCTTATGACTGGGTGTAGAGCTCCAATTTAGATTGCTTGTCTTAAATTAGCCTGATTCTTACCACCAAAATATCAATAGATAATTTTAAATTTCAATAAAATATATGACCACCAAAGCTTATTTTAAATTTTTTAAATTTATTTAGGTACCACTATCTACCAAGCTGCCAACACAATAATTGTAGGCATACAATATTCCAATTCCAGTCCCACCACTAGTGCCAATGTTCTTCCACCAATATCCATAGGTTCCCTCCCTTCTGCTTCCCTCCACAAGCTCACTTCCTTAACTTTTGTGAGTTTATTTAAGTTTGAGCCCAATGCTTACAATCAAGTCATCTCTAGTGATTTATATAAATACAGACCTCTCAACTCTCCCTGTGCCCAAGACCCCTGGTGATGACTCCTATGTTACCTCTGGACCACCTCTCCTTCCCGGGCTCCCATCTCTGTAATCTTTGACTTCTCAATTTGGAATTGTTTTATGCCAAAGAATAAGGATGCTAGAAAGACTCCAGGGCAGACCCGGAAGGAGAAGGTAGCTCTAGAAACGTAGAGAACAGAAAGGAGAAGGGGGAAAAAAAAAACCCAAAAGACTCACAGGAAAAATTCAAACAGGGAGAGTTTGCATGGCCTATTGAGTTGTGCAATTGAGTCCCCATTATTAATTACAAACGCTATTATGTTTTGTAGGCCAAGCACAGATCACACACATGATCTCATTTAATCCTCACAGCCACCCTTGAAGCATGTGTTTTTATCTGAAGAATAGTTCTGGGGTGGCTAAGGGCAGCCAGCAAACCACAATGGGTTTAGAAGTGAAGAGGAGAGAGAATTGTCGTCTGCATTTGGGATAAATTTGGCATAAAAGGAAATCAATTCCCTCCTAAAGGCCAGTCAGTCTGCCAGTCCCTTGAAAACACTTTTCTAATTGCATCCAAACAAAACTCTGAGAGGGAGGTGGTGTTGCTATTCATCTTTAAAGCAGAAACTGGGGTTTGGAAACCGATCAGAACCCTGAGCCTGTGTATTCCATAAGCAACTACTGTTCCCTCTAAGGTACTTGAGCTGCTGCGGAACCAGACTTGGTGCCGAGCACATGGACCCCAATAGAAATTCCAGCTGCATTTTCTGTGTGGAAATCCTGAGCGGGCTGGACCAGAAACATCTTACAGTGGGTAGGACACAACCCCACTCGCGGCTCATCCCAGGTACCACAACTGTCCCCACTCCCTGCCTTGTCCCCCAGCACTGCCAGAAATATTTGGTGAGCACTGAGCCAGGAGTAAGCCCTGAGCAAGCTGGATGTGGCCCCGGACCCACACTTAAGTTTGGACTTGCGTTTGTTCAGCCATCTAGCTGTAAATGTCCTTTGGCCTCAGTTTCTTCCTCTGTAAAATGGATTTCATTTGAAAGGAAAGCTAACACTGAGAATACAAAGGAGCGCTGAGTGCCTAGGGTTTAAGCATGAGATGGGGGCGGGGTGGCATCTTAGCTAATCTTTTAAAACGTGCAGGAGAAGATGACTTTAGGGGGGACGTCAGAATTAGCAAGTCTGGGTGCCCGCCAGGGATTCTGAGCTCGCCCAGATGCCCCGTGTTGCTAAAAGGATCCCCTAGCCAAGGATCAGGAGGTGGCACGGTGTGTGTTTGCTTTTGTGATGGGCTCCCGGTTTTGTTTGTTTTATCCCCTGGGACTGATGCAAACTGAAGCTGGGGTGAGGGGGGAGAGACTGCGCGCGCGGGGCAGGGATGCTGGGCACCTCGCGAGTGGCAGGACGCCAGTCCGGCCCGGGGGTGCCACGGGGAAGGTCGCGGAGAGGCGGGGGGACCATCCCGTCCTGGTTTTGTTTGGAATCCGGGAAGAAAGGGGCGAGGAAGTTGATGAGCTCTGCCCTCCTGCGGGCGGGGGCACGGCCCAAGTTTCAGAAGAGGTTGCCTTCACGACCCCATCCCTCCTGAGTTTTTCTTCCGCGATCTCCTTCCTCCCTCCTCTCCCCAGTCACCCCCATCCTTGCCTGCCTCCTCTTCTCTCCCTCGAGCAGCTGGTTTGACGCTCGCCTCCCCCTCCGCTCCTCTCCAGGCTGCAGCCCGGGCAGAGCTGGGAGAAGGGACCTGGCAGAGAAGGAGATTGGCTGCGACTGCACGGACCGGCAAGAGAACCGGCTCTCTCTTTCTCTCTCTCTCTCTCTCTCTCTCTCTCTCTCTCTCTCTCTCTCTCTCTCTCTCTCTCTCTCTCTCTCTCTCTCTCTCTCTCCCCCCTCCCTCCCTCCTTCTCTCCCTCCCTCCTTCTCTCCCTCCCTCCCTCTTTCCCTTTCCCTCCCTTCCCTCTCTTCCCTCTCTCATTCTCTCCCTCTCCCTCTCCCTCCCTCTCCTTCTCCCTCTCCCCCTCTTTCCCTCCGCACGCACACAAACACACACACACACACTCACACACGCACGCACGCACGCACAGACACACGCACACACCGACACACACATACAAAATCCAAAGCTCGTTGGGAGCGCGGCGCGGCGGCTGCAGTTCCCGGGGCCCGTGCGAGTAGCGCGCGCGCGCGCGGACCGACGCTCCGGGAGTCCGGCAGGCACACAGCCGGGAGAGAACCCACCTGCAGGCGGACCGGGACCCCGAGCGACCCCGTCCCCGTGCCACCGACCCCCCAGCGTCGCCGGGACCCGGCCATGGCCCGGCCGCGCCCGCTGCTCTACCTGTGCCTGGGCTGCGTGTGCCTGAGCCTGGCGCATGACCAGGTGTCCCAGCACATGCTGAGGCTCTATGACAGCTACCGCGCGCCGCGGACGCCGGGGGTCGCCGCGCCGGGTTCGCAGCCCCCACGCCGAGGCAACACGGTCCGCAGCTTCCGAGCTGCAGCGGCAGGTGAGTGAGGCGCACCCCGGGGCTCCGCAGGTCCCAGCCCAGGCTTTCCCCGGGGAAGCCCACCATCCCCCGGACACATGCATGCATGCACACACACACACACACACACACACACACACACACACACACGCACGCACGCACGGTCGCACGCACGCACACGCTCACACACACAGACACACACGCACGCATGCACACACAGACACACACACGCTCCTACACACACACACACAGACACACATACGCACACGCACACACTCAGGCACCCAAGCGTGCATTCGCACATAGACATACACACGCACGCACTCACACACGCGCGCACACACGCACACGCGCGCGCACACAACCACCAGGACACCAGCCCCGCGCTCCGTGGCGCTGCGAGGAGATGGTACTTGCATGCATTTGTCCACCCGGGAAGGCCAGTTCCCAAGAAGAAGGGTGCGAGAGAAGTGCATAGAAGGGCTGGAAGCAGGGGAGGGAGGTTGGTTCCAGAAACTGCATGAACACCAAGCACTGGGTGTCTGCTTTAATGCCCCTGGGATCTTGCCGGCCCTGGGGACACTCCCCCAATATCTCCGGGGTACCTTGGTGCTGCTGTTTCTTAAACCGGTCCACGGAAATTCCCTTGGACTGGGCTTGAGCCATGTTTACCCAGATGCGATCTTTCGGCCAAGCCTCTGGCACCCAGGAGAAAAGTCAGACCTGAACTGACATCTTCCCCCTTTGCAGTTCAGTTTAACTCGCGTCTACTGTGTTACTGTATTGGATGCTTTCTACTACTTGGTGGTCCCTAGGTGGCAAATACACAAATTAGGCCAGCTGTTCCAATCCCTTAAAGCCCATCTGGGCAAACGGGGGAGGAGAGGGTACCATGCAGGGAGAGAGGAGGTGATGTGTGGGGAGGGAGGAGGTAAGCATGGAGTGCAGCCCTGCATGTAAACACCTCTTGGCATTTGCCTATGAAAATCTGCTCGTCCATGTTTCAACACACAGATCACTGCGGACTGCAAGTCATGATTTAAGGCGGTTTCTCCTGGCCCCTGTGGTGAAGCGAATAACTTATGCTCACAGCCTGCCTCTCTTGCGCTAAGAGCTTAAGGGAAAGTTTCCTGGACGCTAACTCAGTTTCTAAGCTTTGAGGATGCACCCTGCTCTTTGTTCACTGTGTTCTTGATAAGGCGTGGACTGTAAGGCAAGGTCTGTCTTCAGGGAATCCTTGGACAATAGACAAGAATCTTCCAGTCCTGGGGCATGCCTCAGACTCTGTCCATTCTGTCAGAATAACTAGGAAGTATTCTCCAGAAACTTGCATATGTAAAACTCCTGGGGAACAAAAAGTTGGGGGTGGGGTGGAAATTAGAGACTCCATCAAGGAAAGTTTGTTGGTTCACGCTGTAAATACATTCTAGAGCTCACATGTTCACATTTACAGTAGATGTGAATTCTGCTTTGTAACTCAGAGGAATTTAGCTGAGTCTGAGCTCAACCATCTTCTTCAAACTAGGAACATATTGTTTAAGGAAAGAAACGGCTCTGCTGAGAAAATAGAGAGGTGTTGAGTTTATCCAAGGTGATTTGGCCTTTGGAAGAGGTTGTCCAGCCTCACACACCAGCAAACATTGTTACTCTAATGCAACTCTGAGGATGAAGCTCAATGTTGAGACCCAGAGAGGCAACAGGAATGGGAGGAAAGTTGGGTGGGCCAGGCAGGTTCAAATCACTGAATGTTTGTGCTAATATCTGTAAGGAGTAGCCGAGGCAACCAAGAAATGTATTTTTGTGTTAACAAGTTTCATTTTCAGTTTGAATCACAGGATTTTCAAGTATCATGTGAGTTTGCTCATTCATGGATGCAGTTACCGATGGTGTGGGGCTGAGTGGCCATGAATGAGAGATGAGTAGGGATTTGAAGAACTCAGGCACCACAAACATTTTGATTTCAGCTCATCCCATGCGTGATCATTTCAGAGTGTCTCTTGTCATCCTCTTGTCCTTCCATATCATCAAATGATAAACTCTGATACAGAGGCCAATAGTTCCCTTGAAATGATTAATTGCAGCTTAAAGCGTGTATACCAGGCTGTGTGCTCTGATAAGAAAGGTAATCCCTTTTACATCCTAGAGACGGTCTTAATGACTTATTCATCAAACGTAGACATTGGTTTTTGTGGAAGCTTAAGGTCACGTTACTGCATTGAAGACCCCTGCAGAGGTGGTTCTTACTGGAACTCTTCCAAGAGTATTTAGTTACGAACACACTTAGAAGACCTGATTAGAAGGCAGTTTCTGCTCTGCGAAGGCACAGCTCCCGGAAGGAAGGTACTAAGTGCTCTCACGTGCATCACTCCCCTTTATCCTTGTCAGCATTTCCATAACACCCTTCCCCTTAGGACATACGTTCTGATATAGGTGAAAGAGACTGTCTGCATTAATAAATCAGAAGCGTTTTCTCTTCCACAGTGCCTGGGTTTCATGGGTTTCTTTGTACTAACCATGTTACTGATTATAACACACAGTCAACTGGTGTGTTAATAGATGGGGTGACTGGTGAGCAGACACACTTTCCCAGGTCTTACTCAGGCTGAGTTAGGGCCTTAGAACGCAATTTGCTCCTTGCAACATACCTGATTAAAATTATTTATTGTTCTAAACCTAGAATATCTCTGGTTGGAATTTAGCTGCTGTGGTCTCCCTCTGATTACCTTCGACTTAAACCCTTACTTGATGGTGGATGGCATTCATCCTAAATACACTTTCCCGCTAACCCCTTTTCTCCCCCCCCCCCCCAATGTTATGCAGTTGGTGTGCCAAACCATAGTTCCTCATAAGTCTTTTTGTGATGTGTGAGAGTTTACATAAAGATAGGCTTTATCTTTCCCTTTGTAAAAGGCAATTTACAAAATTATTGATGACAGAGAATTTCAGCTTTGTAAAAACACAGCCTCTTGAAAGAAGACAAGAGGGATATGAAATCAGCTTTTATTTTCATCTTGGTTTCACTTGTCTTTGGCTACTATGCAGGGAAAGGATACATTCATTAAGTGAGGTTTTTCTCCTGGCTTGATCCTCTATGATACATACTTTGTGTTTATTAACTTCTCATCATTCCTATAGTCACTTAATCTTGTTTTTCTTAATCATAAATTTAACTTCTTCAGAACACACTATTAAAGCACACGTGATCTTCTTAGGATGCTATTATTATTTTAATTTATGATATATGACTGTAAAAAGATTGCATTACAATGGATACATGTCGCCTTATTAAAAACAAATCACACAGAGTTCATGACAAAAGGAAAAATTTGAGGAAATCCAGACTTAGCTGAATATTTTCCTTCAATGAAAAAATAATCTTTCCTACCGTGACCCAAAAAAATCTTCAAAAATGAAGAATTATCATTTCACCTGTTTCTCAAATGCAAACTAAAATACAAGCCTTTGGGAAAGATGTAATTGAGGCTGAATAATGAATCTAATGATACTATTTTTTGTCAAAGCCACAGGGTAGTGGAAAAAGCATCCTTTTTTGGAAGGGTTTGATTGCAAATAGATATTGCATTATTAAAATACAATTACAATGAAATTCCTATCACCTAAAACTAGGATGGAAATTAAAGAATACTCCTATCATCTGATGTTTCTGTTCGAAGGAAGGACAATAGTTCCTCTAAACATGGCGAACTGAATGTGTACCACTTTGAATTATGCATTACTTTGAATATATGATTGTTCTTACTGAAGATTTTACTGTAGTAGGCGAGACAGCTTTACAGTCCCTGATATTTAAAAACCCATAATTCCATGAACTCTTGACTATTAATACTAATGGAAAGGAGAAAGAATGAATTATACAAAAATAACTTAAATTGAATGTTTTACATGGACCCACAGACTCAGAGACCCTGAAGGTCAATGAAATACTCTCTTAAGTACATGATTGACCGGGCAATATTTGTATATCAAAAATATAGCCAGAAATCAAATAAATTCCAAGAATTGCATCTGTTTTAGCTATGCAATGGAAGTTTAACAGTTCTTGATTGATTCCTTTCAGATTTTCTAAAAAAATAAATAGTAACACTATATTAAACCTGCGTTTGCGAATTTGGGGATTTTGCAGTTCTGCATTCCAGAAAGACTTTTACGAAAATAAGTCCTCTCAAGATGTAGCTCCCAGTGGTCAGACACTTGCCTTCCATGCTACCACTGCAAAGAAAATGAACCCAATTTCTTCTTTTTATGGGAGAAAACAATGGGCACTCTAATGAACTTCCTAGACATTTAAACACTGAAATCACCCCAAAAAATGTACTGCTTTAAAAATTAGATGCAACTCTTAGGAGAAAATTTCATCCAAATGAGCCTTTGGAAGATGTCAGCTGGCACTGCATAAAAATTGGGTTTCATGAGCGAGGATGTTTGGAAATTCTCCCTTTCTTTGCTGTGACACTTTTCAGGGCCTTTTACTTCTAAGGAATTTCTTTAGGAGTGGTGCCTTTCTCCCCAAGAGAGGATTTCAGGTCATTGTGGTTCTTGATATCTAATGTGGGGAACACTGGTTCAGAACATTCCCAATTTAGGGAAAACAACAGGAAAAAATGGTATGAGAGCAACCCAATTTCTAATTTTCCATTTAGTATCAATTTCACAATTTTTTTTTTTAGGCCCTCCCGTTGATCGTCGATTTGCTCGAGCGGGCCCAGTAACGTCTCCATTGGAGACTTTGTTGTTACTGTGTCTGGCATATCGAATACTCTCGGTAGCTTGCCGGGCTCTCCAAGAGGGGCGGAGGAATCGAACTCGGGTCGGCCATGTTGGCCGCGTGTAAGGCAAACGCCCTACCCACTGTGCTATCGCTCCAGCCATTGTCTTATATTGTTATATTTTGTACTTGGGTCCAGTTTACAGTTTGTCATCTTTCAATTTTTTTGTTTTAACATCTTAAAAGAGTCTTTTTGTCATTAAAATTTCTCTTACTTCATTGTAAAATTTCCTTC